CACATTTAAATATTATATAAACGATATAAGTAATATTTATTTAAAACAAAAATAGGAAACTTGTAGAAAGATATATGTTTCTACACAACGCCATTACGTTCACCGAAATTAAAAGCAGAATAATGCATGAATGAAGGGCGGGAAACATTCGTGTCAAAAAATCAGGGCACGCAAGAGGGCACACACGAGCGGGAAGAAGAAACATGCGAGCGGGTAGGTAGGTGACAGTTTCAGGATTTCGAGAACGCGAGCGAGACGGAATGACAGGGGCAAAGAGAGGAGGGAGACCCGTGCTCGTCCTGTGGTTTCCGTAAATGGCGCAGCCACGACCGGAAGTAGCGGTCGCATCAGTCTGTTTAATAGCCGTATTGTATAATTATGAACAATGGAGAGATAGAGATAGAGAGAGAGAAAGAGAGAGAGGGGGGGAGACAGAGAGAAGCCTGGAGAAGGGCAGAAGCCAGCAGAGTGCCATGTGAAATGCACACCGCATGAAGGTAGAACACGCGCGCGCCCGCGAGAGAGGGAGAGAGGGAGAGAGAGAGAGAGAGAAAGAGAGAAGCAGAATAGCGAGAGAAGGAACGAGATACATTTGTCGCGAGCGAGCAAGATGACGCGAGTTAGACGGAGCGAAATGGAGGGAACGCGGCCGGGGGAGAATGGGTACCACAACGAGGACGAGCACACGATGAGAGCCGTATGGCTTATGGCTGCCAGCCACCGTAGAACACGTCCGCTCGTTCGTCGTACATGACGGATGACACAGAGCGACAGTTTTGATGCATCCAACTCCTCTCCAGGAGCCGCACCGAGTTATCCCGCACGGCATGTGCGTGCCCTGCACGCGTGTGCACGCGCGTGCTCGCGCGCGGAGGGGTGGGCGGCGAGGAGGTGGCCGCCAGGGATGTGCGCCGCGGTTAACACGCCAAGCCACGCGTGAATCCGTCATTAATACCGTCACTCCGGAGACGACGGGCTCCGCGATCGCGCGGCTGAAACGTCAGCTGAGCGGGTCAACAACCGGACCAATTGCGATGTCCTCTCCCAAAATGGGAACATATTGTTTATCGCAACTATGCGTGACTACGCGTGACTATGCGAGGTGTGCGCTTCCAAAGTTCTTCTCCGTACCATGATGATGTCTCGACAGAAACAAATGGAATTTTGAAAACATGTCGATTGGGATTTTCGTATGTTGAACAACGAACAACGATTTCATTACATTCGCGAATTAAAGTAGAAAAAAAAAAAAGAGAATTTTGATACTTACGTCTTGTTCGATAAACGGTTATTATGCTTAGGTGTCGAGATTTCTTTCTCGCGCAACTTCCTGCCGATTCCGCCAATTCGTTGCGGTGGATCCCTCAATGCGAAACTCTTGGCATAGTGACCTAAATGAAGTTCCTTTCGATTGAATATCTCACGCATGTCGCGCGGATAACTCGAATAGAAACGCACCCAGGAGACGTATGCTACAGAAAAAAAATTACAATGTAAAAACAATAAAACAATTACCTTTCTATCTACCCGCTGTTCCCATTGCAGATAATATATATCAGATTATCTGCAGACATTAAATACAATAAGGAATGTACCAATGTAATTATTCTTGCGGTATGAGATAATTAAATGATAATTGTGCTTAAAGGAATAAATATGTATCTTATTTTAAATTAATTACAACTTCTGTGCTACAAAATCGTTGCACAAGTGTGCGTTGCAATTAATACAGCGAAGCGCTAAATTCAAATATATATTATCTTGCAAGAAGAGCTACGTCTAAAATACGAATAAAATCAAGAGGTGCAACGTCAAGGACACTTATCTCGTCTATGTTTAAGAGGTCACGTGCATCTCTTGAATGTAATGATCAGTTACATGTAGTGCGCCCTTATTAATCGCAGTTCCATTAGGTGGTTCCACGGGGGTTGGGCCGCGCGATTTCGTGGGGTGTGTGCGCGCCCCGTGGCGGGCTATTAAGGAGCATTAACGGTGAGGAGAGGGTAGTCGAGTCAAGTGCTGGAGCTAATAGTCACCCTCGCGTCCCTTCTTAACGTCTCTTGCTTGTGCGCACGGGTGAGAAACTCGGGGGATCTCTGGTCCTAAGAGAACTCGACATGTGCACATCGTTGCCGTTTCGTGTGAAAAATCTCTCAACCCTAATAGAGTAGAATTTAGCTTTCGCCGTGAACGTTCATAGTGAACGTCGAATCGTCCAAATTTTTGTATACTAGTGAAAATATTTCACGTAAGAAGATTATAATAATGGAATAAAATATCTCGTGCTTTTCAAAAAATTAATCACCAATTTTTCAATAAATGCAGTTTGTGCATTATTGTTTTTATATCTAATTGCATCTACTTTGCTGAATATGATCGAACAGATTTAGTTGCACGTTCCCTTGTGACTAATTTCTAATTTTTATACTATAACTATTTATAATTTTCTCGCGATCGGACTTGTGTCTCAACATTTTCCATCCTGATTTCCGTCTGCTTCCAATCTCGACTCTTCCCTACATAAGAAACACTGCTGGAGTCTTTCTTGTGGCTTGGTGTCAGCGTTGAAAAGGGAGAAATGTTTTTCTCCATTTAGCACATAAATCACACGTGGGGGCGGTGTCTAGCTGAGAAGCCAGAGCGGCGGGAAGAAACGGGGGGGGGTGTAAGAGTGGGGTAGTATTGTTCCTAAGTGATGTAACTGCGTCTTATTGTATTTGTATCCTGTATCGCATTGTTAAGAGTCTCTCGCCACAAAGCGTAAGTGGTTTTGGCGGAAGTCACATTCAGTGGTTGGATTGTGTCGGCCACCCCCTGTGAAAGGCGCGCGAACGATATACACTGAATTCGATCTAACTCGCGATGAGTGTGCGAGATTAGCTCAGCAGTGTCACAGTTCTCATAATAATAATTAACAAAATATGGTCCGTTTCAAACAAGCGCTGTCGCGAAAGCTCTAAACTATAAACATGTGGAATACAGGCGAATTTATTAGCCATCTTAGATTGCACGAATGCGACTCAATATGCCATGTGCAATATGCATTTCAATTTGTATTTATCATTATTTCAACAAATTTAATCAAATAAATTGCCTGATCGAATTAAATCGGATAGAAGAAGATGCGAAAGATGAAGTGATCCAAGTATTATATATTTGTGTTGGCAGAAAATTACGATGAACAGCATATAGCCGAGCGAGCGACATGAGGCTCAAATCGTATATATGGGATGGGAGTGGATGAATCCCTCAGGTTAGTGGCGAGGGTCGTAGCTCGGGGGTCGTTCTATAGAACTGTACTTGCTATTGAAGGCTGTTCGAGTCTATTGGGGTGATAATGTTACGAATTAGCGAGATTTCCACTTCTCCGCTCGTCGACCGGCCTCCGCATCGGTCGCGAATTAGATAAATTTCGGAATTGTTGTGAAGAACGCAGAACGTGTCCACGTGTCACGCTATTTTCCATTGTTGTGCGCCTGTTGTATGAACATTTTTACGATCTTAATTCCAACGCTATGGCTTGTATTATATACAATATATGGCGCTATTCACTGGTTTTAAGTACGACTGATTTTTATTAATTATCACAAGGTAATAGCAGATGCGTGTTAAGTAAAATTAATAAAATGGAAATAAAAAAAAAAATAATTCAAAATCTTGACAAATAATTTTTGTTTAAAATCCTTAAATAATTCTATTTTGGAAAGTTGTCTAATACAAACCGGTAATTTACTTAAATCGCGTCTCATTGTTTTCATATTGTTAAACATAAATGACATAAAAATATAAAATAAATAAAGAATGAGAAATATAGATAAAAAATTGGTAAAATATATCTTATATTGCGCATATTACATACAAAAGTTTAAGTTTTTCGTTATCTCTTTCGGCTAAACGAAAAGTAATAATCTTAAATATCAAGTTAATATTTCTAGTATTAACTTGCGTTTACAAATTAATACCAAATAAGAGATACATCATCTTAAGCGATACTATTTTCACAACTTTTTCTTAATTTTAAAAAATGCAATACACAATTCCTATAGTCATTGTCTTTAAAATAAATAGAAACGTTTCGCAACAAAAACATCTTTCTCTAAATATTTTTTCTTTGTCACGAGAAGTTTCCCCAAGTGTTTTTAAAGCAAATTATCGATATAAGCATGTATTTAGAACAGACGAATGATGGACAGTAAACGCAAATGGTCACTATAGATATGTCGAGAGATGTTAACTAATTTGTTATCCACTTCCTGCTTGCCTCTCATTCGCTCTCTCGGTTTCCATGCGAAAAGTGCAATACGGTCACGAATGGCGGCAGCAATTAATCTATCAATCACTCGGTACGTGCGGAGGAACGGTCAAGTGGTTAGCTGTGTAACGTCACTCAAATCTGGGGCGGCTAAGCGCTCAAAAACCGTGGCTAACCTTCGTGTAAAGCCCCGGCTGATGCGGGACAATTTCGAAGCTCGAAAACCTCTTAGAAAGATTAATGGTCCCGAATTTCCTTTTTGGAAACGCTCGTCGTTCGTGCGATTATAGCAATCGACATAATATCAGTAATCATTAATGTACTTTCGCAAAAGTAATCTTCGAAATTCGTTTGTGTTGTTATTATTATCGCGCCAGTACAGCAGAGATTTCTCTAAAATTTCTCAAGTTTGATAACAAAAAAAAAAAAAAGTCAGTTCAGGACTGTGTGTTCATATTCATATTTATAACTTTAGCTTCAAATAAAGTAGCAGAGAAGTGGTTTAAGGAAGCAACAAGTTAACTGATTGATATTTATATGAAAAGGCAAATAGATTCGCGGGAAAAAAGTCGTCGAATATGAAGAGGGCTAATGTCTTCACTTCACGAGTATTAGACCGGGTATAATGGATTTATTATTGCAGCAAATAAATTCTTCTCCGTAACGACCCTAATAGAGTAACCGTGGCATAGCAAACAGGATCATCCCTCCTCGTCCGTACACTATGTAAATATCCAAGTGGCGAACGAGGCAAATGTGAAGGGAGACGGAATAAGAGCCCCATAACGTGTACGCGTAGGGGTTGCTTTATATGCGAGTGGGGTGCTCGCTGGAATTGGCTTAGTCTACCCTGAAGTCAGCTCGCTTTCGTTACAATCCAACTGCGTCAAAGTAGATGTTCGCTCATCCTTCGCAACTCCTCATCAACACTTTGCCTCTCACGAAAGCAAAGATTTAAGCTTTTATTACACGCGTACCTCTTAAAATATACACGGGAATATATATATGCTAACTAGAAAGGAATTACGTAACTATCTATGTAGCACAGCACGATTCGTTATATAATAGTCTGCCTCATTATCGTACCAATTAAATTTTAATCGATATCACAGTGTCAAATTCATAAAATTAGAAAAAACTGGAGCTCAAAAGTTAGTTAAGTATTACATCCCATTTATGTATTGTATTTATTGCGAAAGAGGCGATAAAAAATTACCGTTAAATATCTCTTTTCTAACATGGCTACTTTTTTATTTCAACTCACAAGTTCGGTAATAAAAAAAAAGAGAATAAATCGTTGAGAATAATTCCAAGAGAATAATTCTTGGCATAAAGAGCATATAGAGAAAGTTTCTTTATATTATTTTAGTCAATCAAGACAATTAATTATTCGAATAATTTTTAATGTCAAAATCATAACTGTGCAAAAAAGCCCCAGTCTTTCAGACATTCGATTTTCAAATCTTGATTATAATTTAAGTTTATAAAATCAAAAGAAAAGTACATGTGATTTATCACGTAGTGAGCGCATTATAAAATGTTGCATTTACCTTTACACGCTTTCGCGCCAAGCTGCTGATTTTCCAACACTAAATCTTCGAAATCGTTCTGGAGAGCGACAGCCGCTGCCTGCACGGAGTTGTGCTTGGAGAGGGGTCCCAGTAGCTTATCCAGAACATCGTTCATGTCCTGCTGCTTGATTCTGATACGCCTCGACTCGAGCATCCGCACGAACTCGATCTCCGAAGGTGTCAGGAAGATTGTCGCGGTGCCGGAGCATCCCGCGCGCGCGGTTCTACCGATTCGATGAACGTAATCTCTAGCCGAAATTGGACCCGTATACTGGATAACGTAATCCACCTTCGGCATATCTAAGCCACGAGCTGCGACATCCTAAATAATTGAGACGGAAAGATATATTTTACATACACCTTGGTCCTAATTGGCGGTTCGTTGTCCCCCCCCCCCAAAAAAACCTTTGTTTTACCGAGACAAGAATAAGATAGTTTAAATTCGCTATTTAACTAATAATAAA